TGTGCAGGGAAAGCCCCTGGTGGGCCGGGCCGGTTTGTTTACCTGCCACGTCTGTAGGTTTGGCCAATCGCGGCTCCCAGTGGCCGCAGTTCGCTGCTCCAGGCCAATGGGAGCCGCAATTGGCCAAACCTGCAGACGTGGCAGGTAAACCGGCCCGGCCCACCAGGGGCTTTCCCTGCACAAGCAGCGGAACAAGTTTGGGAACCACTGATCTATAAGAATTAGAGTTTGGACAGAATTTTCAAAGGACCATACAGGAGTTAGGCACCCAAATCTTATTAGGCTTTTTTTGAAAATCTCATTCATATTCTACACCCTTTGTGAAGGAGTGTTCTGCCCTTTTAAGAGACAGCCAGGAACTCTCAGCCAAAACAGTCTGGGTATATTTAAGGAGGCTGTCTGGTCAGCCCTAAGGCTTGGCCTGTTTGAACAGAAACAGGAAGCTGAACAGGAGAGAAGTGACTAAAAGCCATCCAGGTTGCAAGGCATGATGAACTCTCTCCAGTTCCAGAAGAGTAGCCTGACCAGGCTCAAAGGCCTTGTTTTTGGACTTAAGTTTGGGATCTCTGAACCAGGGTACTGAGTCTAGGGCCCTTGAACTATTATTCCAAGTACTCCTTCGATGCTGGTTTATTAAAGGAGACACATTTATTTTGATTTGTTTGTTTTGGCTCCTCATTGCATCAATCTGTGAATGTGAACTTACTGACACCCAAAGGCAAGGCACACCTGTAGTACTGCGCTTGGTCACAACAGGGCATTTTGAGATGGCCCACACTGTTAACACTCGTACAGATCCACAAATTATAAAGTTCAGTTATTGTAATACTTGTCAAGCTATACTGTTAGAAAATAAAACTGGTATGGTATGATACAAAAAAGTAAGCCTATTACTTAACTCATGCTAATAGGAATTTATATAGATTACAATATATCACATAGCATCATTACAATATATCACATTCAGGTAGGGGAGCAGGGAAGAGAGATCCTGTGGCCAAGTTTTAGAAAGAATGGCTATGGGAACAGTAGAAGGGTCAGAGAGTAACATTTCGTTGTTACGTTAAAGAGAGGGTTAAGAAGTTATATGTTGCAGAAAAAATGTCTCTTGATATTTGATTTGAAAACTTAGGAAATCAGCTGCGTACAGGGAGTTTACTTCATGTGGGAGCAATCTGTAAAAGAAACTTCCTACTGCTCTGGAGAGATGAGGATGGTAAATAGAAAGAAGCCTAGTATCAAAGGAACATGGAGAATACAGTAGAAGTTCTGTTTCGTAATTGTAGTTGCAGTAGTTCATTGGAGGACCTTGTAACTAGGGTAAAAGACTTTGTACTGGCTTCTGACATACACAAGTAACCATTCAAGAGTTCGAAGAACATGGGCAAGGAAAATAAGGCGTTACCTTTTGGACATGCTTAGGTTTAGCGTCTTGGATTTCCATTAACATCTAAAGGGTAGAAATTGCAGTATTGTGCATGAGAAGAAAGAAGACGACGTATTGATATCTTGGAGATGTGACATGATGGTGGACAAGCCATGAAGGAAGCCCTGGTATTGTAAAGCCTGTTTTGTGCCTCTCATCAAACGTCAGGGCAGCAATTTATGCTTCTTCTATAAGGAGCTATCAGAATCATTGTATTCGATGCAAAGGTCTCCTTGGTCTCCCTTGCCAAAGCTGGAAGAGAGAGAGGCAGGAAAAGCCATGCTGGTTCTCTAGTAGAGAAGCTGCCAGCAGCTCTCCGTCCTATTCACAAAAGGATCTAGCTTTCAGACAAAATAGAAGCCTGAACAAATTTTGACCAACATGCAAGCAACGACAGACTTCCTTACAGTCCACACAGCATTTCTCCACTTCACCTTAGCTGTGAAGGGAAGGCAGCCAGAATCACCAGAAGACATTATGGACAGTGGTAAGTAGCCTCATGGCCCACTTTCTTTATCATTTACTAATGTACGTCTCCTGCACGCCTTCATGCCGCACACATTCTCCATGCTCTTCCAAATACGAATTTTCCCTTGCAGCAAACTTTTCAGGGGTTTATTGTGGATTTTTTTGGCCAGAGACTTGTTCCCTTTGGGGTGTGCCTCAATCCTCAGTGGCCGCTGCCTTCTGTCTGCAGCTTCAAAAGTGCTAGAGCTCTGGCACTTCCATTCCTGGGTTACCTTGTGACTGGGCCTTCTAGACACTTACTCTCAAGGGACTCTTCTGGAACATCTAGCAAGAGGTGGTTGTTTTGAGCCAAAGGGACTCCCGTCTCTCCCTGGTTGAAGAGACTGAGTATGGCAGAGAGGCTGTTTCTCACTTGCTTCAAAGTGGTGCAGTATAGCTGGCTCCTTGCCCAAAGCAGAAGTTTGGCCTTTACTCTATTATTTTCCTTGTGAAGGAGTGCTTGGGGGAACAGGTCTGGGTTTGATTTAAAATATCTAGATAGACATTTAAGGAAGTCCAAAATTCATTATGGAGATGCTAAAGTTAACTTTAGCAGCCATCAACAAAGGGGACTTCCTATACTCCATAGACCTGAAGGAAGCCTATGTTCATATAAAGTACCTGTTCAGTCTGCTCCCAGGCATGTCTCTCACTTTACATAAAGGCACCAGTATTTTCAGTACTGCTTCTTACCATTTAGTTTGGTAGCTGGACCTAGTGTGTATAGACATACTTGTAGCTGCTCTGAGACAGGAATGTATGCCTGTTTTTAAATGATGTCATCGGAGACCTGTGCAGGGGAAAGGCAGAAAAGGACATTTGGAGGACAGTACAATTTGTGGATTACTGTGGATTCATCAATTTCAGTTGTTTCCTCTGTGTGCTATTTTGAGTTCCACTAGGAAGAGGAAGTTTTCATTTCATCCAGATATTGGGCGCTTCCTAGGTACAGCACCATTGATTTCTCCTCCCTCCCCCCCCCTCCCTTGAGTTCACCAGGCATAACTCTGGGATCTGAATATCATCTTATTGGCCCTAATTGTGTTCCCATTTGAACATGTCAGAAAAATTTCACTATATTTCTTGTCTGTCAAATTAGTTCTCAGCTAACATATCCTCAGAAATGTATTAAATCTCAATTTTTCACCTTCCGCTGTGACAAAATTGTCATCAGGACTAAAACCAGTCTTTGTATCCAAAGTAAATTCAGTATTTCATTTTGCACAGGAAATGATCCATACCCTCCTTTTGCCCCAAGACATCAGATTTGAAAGGGAAACTTTAGTATATTCTCTGTGTGACACAGGCTTTACTGATTTCATATTGATCATTCCAAGCCCTTTAGAAAAAATCAAAGGTTCTTTTTTGTCTTGTGCCATCCAGTATCAAAAGAAAAGAAGACATTTAAGTTCTTCATATTAGGATGGATTCATCTGGTCATATCAGAAGCTTAAAGAGCAAAGTCCTTAGCTCCATCATTTAATCTCAAGGCCCATTCCCTTAGAGCTAGGGTGACTTCATAGGCCAAGTGTTCTTATGCTTGGTAAGAGGAAATGTATGAAATTGCAACATAGCCCTTGTTGCCCATCTTCACCAAACTCTAAAAATTGGACATCCTATCTTCCACAGCTGCTGCCTTCAGATGGAGGGTGCTCTAGGCAGTGGTTCCTTGGTGAGGAGAAATTCATAGCTAACAAATAGTTTGATACTGGTTGTTTCTGCTTTCAGATTTCTCAAGTTC